GAGGTTTTTTACTTGCAATCATCTGAAATAATCTGAGACAGGTCAGAGAATACGGATTCAATTTATCTTTATTTGATTTATCTGCCATTTATATCTTAATAAAGTGCATTACCTTTACACACTATCTCAGTGATGTATCTCTTTTTGGTTATTTCATATGCATAGAGGATGTCTGCTATTCTGGAGACCTGTGTGCACATGCATGTTAAACATTTTACAGTTTAGTTCAGTTGTGAACTCCATTAAAACCTTTTCTATGTCTTGTGCAACATCAATTTGAATGCATCTCTAGCTATTTATTTGATCAGTTTGAATGTTGGATGTGAACGGCTGGTGAACAGATTCCTAACAATAACATTAAAATAATAAAATGTTAACTGTAGTGGCAGAGGCTATAATTAGATGCAGTCAAATAGTGAATGAATTAATTATGAGGTTCATACGCCATCCATGAATATTTAAGGTTTCATCTATTTCCTTCAGACATTATATTGACTATGAATTACTCTCCCGCTCTATGTCTAATATATATGCAGCGTGTGTCACTTTCAATCCCAGCTGGCCCTCGTGTCGCTGCACCTATCAGGGAAAAGACGGCTCTACTCCTGTAAAACTGAGGTATTGGTAAATGTCACAGCTAGTGGCTAATCCAGCATAGTAAATGTCATCTAAGCCTTGTCACTAAGCCAACTGCAACCCAGAACAGTTGATGTAGGCACTGAACGAAAACCACTTTCTGTTGACTACAGCGCACAAGCTGCAGAGATCCTGGTCGCGCCGATTGGGCTACAAAACAACATGTTGGTTGCTTGGCACACAGTGCAGGCATGTATTAAACACCTCAGCTCTCAACAGGCAGAGAGATGAGAGTGTGTGAGTGATGGAAATTTGCACAAACAAGAGATGTGTAGCACTGAAAGAAGTGGTGGGAGACAAGAGGACAGAGGAGGGTTTAATTTTTTTTTGTTTAAATGCCTTTTGTGAGGAATAAACTGCTTTGTGTTCAGGGATTGAAAATTGTGGGTTTTTTCTTGACAGTGACTGATAACCCCTCTTTTGTCGCCGTCATCATCATCTCTAAAGCAATGACCTCCTGCCATTGTTGTTGTTCCTAGATAACTAACAACAGAACTCTTTATTGACTCACATAAATATGTAATTCACCTGTCTTGTGTAGTAAACAAGGTATGAGAGGCTTCCTCTAAAGACACTATAACTAACATCAAATCTACGGCATAGGTGTCAAACCATGTGCCATGAAGCATTTCTTATAAGGCAGTGATGTATTCACACACTGAAATGTCTCACAGATATATCAATAACCCAAGGGGTGCATTGTGCACCATTAAAAGGGTACTCTAGCAATTTAGTGCTGCATTTCCATAAAAATGGAAAAAGTGCTCCAGACAGAAGAATGTATTTGACGTTTACCAGACAGGGAGGCTGTCTGGTAAGTATCTCTCAAACTCTGCCTCTACGGTAGTGCTTTTAATACATAGTAGTCTCAGAGCCGACGTTCATTCATGAAATTGGTATGGGAGAGTAAAACAAACTTTATGAGCTCGCAGATCAACAACGGAAAGTCTATTATTTTTAACAACGTCAGCTGTGGAATTAAAGGACCTGCCAAAAGCCATGGAGTGGGGAAAAAAGTGCTGTTAATGTTGTGTCACCTGTGGGTTGTGCTGTTGTGAAGTTGCATGTCAGGCATTGCAACAGAGGAAGTTTCCCTAGACAGCAACAAGCACACACCTTAATTTGACGAGAACCCTAACCCCATCAATAGCCAATTTAAATTAATTATGATATCATTAGGCTATATGATACATTTTAGAACTATATTATAATTTAAACTGTACAGTCAAGCAGGATGATGATGATGATGGTGTCAACGTAATTATGAATTTAAACATAAAACTCAAAATTGCTTTAAAGTAATGCAATATACAATCCTTTAGTAGAAAACCTGTTTGGATAACAGAAGGCTAATTGCACATGACTCATACAGGTGGTACAGAAAGAGAACATTCAAAATAAGAGAAAATTGGTAATTAGTACTCCTTAATCAGTCATATAAGCCACATAAGAATGAATGTGTTCGTAAAAGTGGACCCAATGTTTACATTAAAATGGTAACAACCTCTAGCTACCATGATAAGTATAGCTTTATTCTGTTGGGAGCAAAGGAATAAGTCAGACGATGTTATTATTGAGCGACAATGTCTGGGAGGTCGGGTTGGAAGGAAGGGTCAACAATACGTCAGAGTTAAGGGTGGGAGACGGCTGTTCATTGTCTGTTTCCTACCAACAGCATGGCCACGACAGTTCCCTACCCTTATCAACGTGGTTATTATTGTAACCATGACAACAAAGTTCCCTTAACCTTAACGAAGTAGTAATTTGCACCATGATGTTTCCCTGGAGCCCTAAATGTTTGCTATAAAGATGGTTTATTTTTAAGCATGAGCACGTTCCATCCCCTTAATGAAACCACAATCTCTGCCTAAGCTGAACCAAGTCTTTGTTGTGCCTGAATCTAACCAAACCTCAACCACAGTGATAAAACCAATTTAGTTTTCAACATTGGGTTGTAACAATTTTGGATGGTGCAGACAAATTAAGTTGTCAGATCACAGAGAGCCTCTAGAAAGGGCAGTTAAACACAACGTATTTTGTTGCATGAGTCCCAGCTGATTTCACTGATTACAAATAAATGTCACCCAGAGAGGAAGAACGAATTCACGAGATCCCTTTGATAAGAATGAAAACCTATGCGCTAAATGTGGTCCACGGTACATGCTTTGACATCTCTGGTCTGCAGAAATGCATGCGACAGAGGGAATTGGTCATTGAGACAACTCAGTCAGTCAGTCAGAGTGATGGACAGAGAGAGAAAGTAAGAGGAATGAGCAAACGTGGTGAAGAAGTAATCACATTTTGGAGTGACAGAGTGAGTAATGATAGTGACAGCGGCTCTACAGGGTCAGACATTATATCTTTTCTCTCTAGAAGATGGGTGTGTGCTCAGGTTACAAAAGATACAGTAGGAATACTAAATAAAGAGAAATATGGCAGCAAAAAGACAAACTGAAAAGATGATCTGTGAGTGACACAGTGTGAGGGTGAAATAACTTAATGGTGCAGCAAAAAATGTATTAAGCTCCCAACTTATCTACCACTGCTTATCAAACACAAGACACAGTTGTCTTGATCTGTAATTTGTCAGATGTGTCTTCAGTGCGTTTGTAATTTGCAATGTTCTGCTTCAGCTCAACATAGTGGGTCATAACATGGCTGAGTACCCAAAATTATGAATTATTATTAATTATTAAAAGTATCATCAGGAAGATGTACTTAAAGTAAAAGAAATACTCAATTAAAAAAGTGACCCCTGTGAGTAGCATATCTTAATTGCTCTTACGTAATGATTAAACAGAGCTCAAACAAACACCAAATGTCTAGTTTTGTCTGATCAATAGTCCAAATCTCAAAGTTATTGAGTTTACCGTTAATTTAAGAAAAGCACTTGATCCCATTTGAGAAGACAGTTTTGGAACTAATTGGTTAAAAAAAAATTGCTTAAGCTCAAATTTTATTTTCAAAAAAGTGCAATATTTCTCTCTGAGATGTAGTGCAGTAGAAGTGTCATGAAAAGGTACTAATGCAGTACTTGAGTAAATGTACTTAGTTACTTTCCACTGCTCATAACTGGCAGGTGTAGAGGCAATCATGGGAATGACTGAAAGGGGAAATACAGTGTATATCAACAGCTAATATCTCTCACTTATGATGTTGATCTGCAACACTCAGCATCATAATGAAGGCGTTCACTCTCTACAGTGTCTTTTACACGCACACGCCACACACACACACACACACACACACACACACACACACACACACACACACACACCTCATCAACACATGGAAACACTGTCAAACAACCATTGAGGGATGAATATAGGAAGTGTTGATTGATAAAAGCAGGTGGAGAATGAGACTGAGAGGATATTGCCAGAGTGATGACGCACTTTAATGTTCTCTCTTGTTCACAAGCTCAAGTCGAGTCAGTTTTATTGATATAGCCCAAAATCACAAATTTGCCTCAGAGGGTTTTACAATCTAGGACACGCAGACACATCTTCATAACCTCGCTTTGGATAAAGTGGATGGAAATGCTTTGGAAATAGAAACAGATATTAAATATTTAAAAAAGCAGAAAGCAGCAGCATGACCATGTGACGCAGTCCAGATATGAAGACATCTGACCTTTTTTATGAACAAATCCCCTGTGTGGACAGGATTTGATTCCTGGCTATGACACGCTCTCTCCCTCTGCTCTCTGATCCCTATTTCACCGCATTTGCATAGATTTCCCTTACAATAAAGCAACATAGAACATAATAACACAAGCTATATTTTGAAATGGAGAGTATGGCACATTAGGGTATCATATCCCAGCACTAAGTCCTGTTCTGCTCTTTCATGTGCCAAATGTATGTAAAGGGGCTGTTTTAGTAAGTTTATGGTCCCCATGTACTGTAAAGCTATTCACTGTAGGCCTATGATTTTGATTGATGACTAAAATGTGAAGAGAACTATTGCTTTTAAAAGATTCATTTTTAATTATGATCCAAAAGTTGTGCAAATTCTTCTTCTCTCTGTAGTTATTTGAGGGGAGTGAGCAGCAAAAAGTCAGTTTACCCTTCTTTCAATTCAGAGATCTTTTGTTGTTCAACCTAGTATCTCAATAAACCTTCAGGAACAACCTGACGCAAACTGAGGAAGCTTTAAAGGAAAGATAGAGTTAGTTTTCTTGCAGTAGGCTACAGTTGAGTTTTCCCTCCTTGTGATTACCAGTAGTTATCATCATCAACATAGATAGCACTTAGTGCTTCACAATAAAAAGAGAAATACATTCAATATAAAATGAGGTCACAGCTGCACCTTTTAATTGACCTCCGGGTGAAAAATGTTGAATTATCTGTTCGTCCTCTCACCTTTCTGCCTGGCACGCTGAGGTATGAGGAGTGTGGAAACGTTTCCGTAGGTGATGTTTGTTGTGTCCAAGCTGCCGTTACCGGCTCCGTTCTGCAGCGCTTCCGTCTGCGCTCCGACGCACTCTGGGCTCGTAGATGTCTCATTTCGCGCGCAAAGCTCCATGTTTTGTTTTTTGTGTTCTTTTACCTAGTATTATCTCTAATGTTGTAAAAAGTTCGATTCAGACCTTCTGTAAATTTCTGTCTTAGCCTCAAATGTTGGAAAATGCCTGGACTCTGCACCCATAGTCCTTCACACTTGAGACTTGCCTCGGTTTTCAAAAACAAAACAAAACAAAAAAAAAAATCTGTAGTTAGTTTCTTTTTGATTATCTGTCCGCCTTGACTGTGGATGTGTCTCACTTGGCATCACACGCTTTACTCAGTGATCAGTGCGCACCAAGAGAGGAGCGCGGCACACTGCTGCGCTTTGTCAAGTGAACAGCATGGAGAGAGCGAGTGAGCGCAGAAGTGGAAGACTAATGTCATATAGGGTGGGTGGGTGGTGTGTGTGTGTGTGTGTGTGTGTGAAGAGAGAGAGAGAGTAATGGATGGACAACAAGAAAAACGGTCATTGGTCTGTTTCTGCTGTTGGGCACATTCATTCTTAAATTATTGATTTGAAAATATTTGAACACACCACACGCCAACTATAGATTTAAAATACCAATTACAGGTGTCCACGAAGCACTTTTTTTCGATTAAGAAAAAACCTCTCCATCATTCATAATTGATATTTTTTTCTTGTATACAACAACACCAAGATGCCCTGTGCGGATATTAGAAATGATAGGTTTAAACAATGTCATTAACTCATTTCCAAGGAGTGATCATTCATTTCCTATGGTATAAAAGAAGATCAGATGGCACTGTGAGGGTTAAAAGTAATTAAGGAGTTTAATGAGCAGTGCAAGTGCAGAACAACACTATGTTAACGAAAAACAAGTTTAATTCTTTGTGATAACCTCATGTTATCCTTCCTCGGTTCATCTTGTCAAATATGTATAGTGACGGGCCTAACACGTTTATCTCTTCCATTTTTGAGAAATAAAAACAGCCTCGGATCAATTGTAAAACTTTAGGGCAATTTAAATGAATGAGATTGGGGATAATTAGAGAAAGTACAGAGTTGCCAAACATTAAATTAGGTTCAGGGACATTGCAACCTTATTTAAACCCTGATCATTTATTAAGATCATTTGTTGAAGACTGGCTTCGAGCTAGCCGGCCAGCAGCCTGTGTGGAGTTTGCGCGTCCCTCCCACAGTCCATAGACATGAAGGTAAGGTTAATTGGCGACTCTAAATTGCCTGTAAGAGTGAATGTGAGCGTGAATAGTTGTCTGTCTCAATGTGTCAACCTGGCGACCTGTCGATGATGTAGTCTACCCCGCCTCTCACGCACAATCTCAGCTGGAATTGTCCTCCAGCCCTCCTAGACCTTGAAGTACAAGCTGATGTATAGCTAATGGATGCATGGATGATATTATGCCCCTTATGACTAAAAGAGTGGGTTTACATGCGCACCGTCGCCCTCGTGTGGTGTGTGAGCGCACAGTGAGTGGATCAACATGTTGCAGATCTTTGAATTAATAAAAAATGTTCTAGGCCTGCAGAAAATATAATTACCTTTTTGTCTAAAAAAAGAAAAAAAAGTCACTTTCTCAGCTGTTAACTCAGCAACATGTTTATATGATATTTCCTACCAACAGTCCAAGTTTATTTTAACCATGAGCACAATTGTTCTCTAACTTTAACCAAGTAGATCTGTTGGTGTTTAGAAAGCTGCAGGAAAAGAGGAGAGTCTTCACCACAACTTCTAACTCTGTTCCCAGTTTTTGTCTTTTCTTTTTAGTTGACTACGGACAACAATAATAATTCTTTTGATTTCTGTCATTGTTTTTTGTAGAATTTTCTTACATGGGGGATCCAGTACTGCGACCATCAAGACATGTAGTTATGACCGGCATTGGCAGGCAATTAACCATGGTTTGCGTGACTCAATAAAAATCTGTCCAATTTCATTATGATGATAAATGCAAGAAATTGCCCTGTCACTGTACTCTTGTGTCCTCTAAAAACATGTCAACCAAACTACGGTGATAGATGTCACTGTGCTCCGTGTTTTGGGAACGAGCAAAAAAAAAACATTCTTTAAATATTGAGACGAAGCTGGAAAACACCAATAAGTTCTTAAAAATGAGATTTATTTGATTATTTCAGCTCTGGTCACAGTACTTTTGCAGGTCGAGACTGATATTTATCCATAACGAGACTATTTTTGACTCCACACTTTTATTATGATTTAATTTAGCCTTAAAATGTTTAGAATTCTTAATAATAAAATAACTAATGGCATTTATTACAGGCTGGTGTGTCTTAACTATTGTTATGATTAGACATGTACTGTCATCCTCAACCATTGCATCAAGGTTTAAAATATAAAAATAATGTTCTGCACCATTGAGCTGTATTGAGCTAAAGATGACCCATTGACGTAATATGTGCCTTGGGCCTGGACAGGTTACATTCTTGTTTTTCCTCGATGGCAGTGGAAAGACTGTCTCTTCTGTGTCACCTGTACATTTGGGAGGTTAAAATGTCGCTGCTTTCTGAGGCGTGTTATTGCTGTGGAGAGCGGGGACCGTCTGCTTGGCCTCTGAACGCTCAAATGACTTCTGGAGAAAAAAAAAAGGGGGGCCATTATTTCAAGCGGCCCACCTCTAATCTTTCTCCTGGTCTAATTAGCTGGCTCAGGCAGGTCATGTGCAGAGCCACTTACCCCAGATAAACAAGCCATGTGAGGATGCCAATCAAGATGAAGAGAGAGACTAGTGCTCCCAGTTGAGTGCAGTAATCATAAACTGGCATGACGTGTTGATTACTGATGCTCCACTGCAGATGAAGACAGGTTGGAGATAATCACTTCTGCGGTGGCACTTTACAGTTCATGTCTGTCTCTTCTGGCGCTACAGTATATGTATACTTTGCTACCTTTACTCTAAATACCACTGAGATTAGGTTTCAGATCAAATAAACAACTGGAGCTGTGGAGGATTCAACAATCCAGGTGTTCATTGTCACGGAAATACATGAAACTCCTTTTTTTCCCCTGGCAAACACAAGGTGATGACTGCGGGTAATGGATGGTGAATACATCGGTGCTAAACCGAGCTGAAGAGAAGTTCTGTCTCCTTCCACTCGCTTCATCTCTCCCCTGGCTGTGGCTCCTGGACCTCTGGGATCGATTGTTCAAACATGGCTCCAGGCTGGTAGTGAGTGTACAGGGTTGGAGGCACTAAACCATCAACAGTCATAAGTGCCTGGCGGTACATACACCTGTATCTGAGTGTCTGTGTGTACAAACAGGGAGACTGACGCCCCCAGTCCTGCACACATTCAGCCATTTCCTCCTGTTGTTCTCAATTTGAGGCCAACAGTCCTGCACCCTCATGTTTTTCGCCTGCATGCTGTGTACATACATATTCACTGAACTAGAGGTGGAGAGTAATGATGAACCAGGGAAAATTATTACCTATCTTATCTACTCTGCATCTCCTCTTACTGAGCTTTATAATGAGGTTCAGCTCATTATTTCTCATTTTGGTTCACTCTCACCACTCTCATAGCACTGTTTTTGGCTGCAGCTGGCAGCTGTTTTCAGCAAAAAGCTCTAAAAACCCACTGTACACAGCCTGCTCGGCACCAAACACCAGACAGACACAATTGGAGACTAAATGTTTAACGTAGCACAGCATTAAGCAGCTAAAGAGAATGGGTAAAGACCAAAAAACGGAGCTAAAAGAGCGTGAAAATTTGACTGTGGTGGCTAAACACGACTCCAATTGACTGATAATGTCGCCTGGATGTGTCAATAAGCACATGTTCACTAACAAGTTCACCACATCATAAAGGAAAAGTCAATGATATGTCACTGTTGGCATCAAGCGGCCGAAACCATCAGTGATTGCACGTATACAGGTTATATTACAACTTCTATATGACTGTACAGCATCAGCATAGGGCGACCAAACACAGAGGATGGTCATTATCTGTCCATCTTTCCACCCACAGTTAGGATATACTGTCGATATACAATACCACAGGTGGTAAGACGCTGTAAAAGCAGTGTACCACAAAGAGGAGGAAAAAATAAAAGAGCACTAATGCAGGTTTCAAACCATCAACTAAAAGGTTTTGCAAGTGCTTAATGAGGACGAAAAGGTTTGTTAGGTCTCACAGATACACAGAATATATTTTTATGAGAAATGTAATGATTTTTAATATGCAATGTGCTTTTAAGTGCAACTTGGAGATACAAAGTGATGGAGTATTTGGAACATTTACTTGTGTGAAAGTAGTAATGTTATGGAAAAAATACTCACATGTGGGTAAATATTCTGCATTAAGAAAAACCTACAGTTAAAGTATCAAAAATAAAAGTGCTTACTGTACAAAACTGCGGGTGTGAAATTATTGATGCATTAATGTGTAAACATAATTTGAATGTGGTAGTTGACCCAGGTGGTGCTAAGTCTGAATGTTTTATACTATTGGACCTCATATTCATAAAGTCATCATATGTTTTTAACATATCTTAATGTTTTAATGTTTATCCAACCATATATAAATAAAGTACTCGATTAGATTTGATTAGATTAGATAAAACCTTATTGTCATTGCACAAAGTACAAGTACTAAGACAATAAAATGCAGTTAAGCATCAAAAACCTAAAAAAAAAAGTAATGTGTATACGTACAGGGATCTAAACAAATAACATTATAGATATATATATATATGAATATGCTAGCAGGATATTTACAGTATGAACATCATTAACAGAATGAACAGAGTGAAATTAATACACTAAGATATATACAGCTATTAAGTTGAGATATTAATAGTATGACTATGGAAATACTGAAGTTACACACTGTAAAAGTGGCCCAGATCTGTACTTAGATACAGTAGTTGAATAAGTGTGCTTTGTGCAGAAAAGTAAAATAAATTCCACCCCTTCAACATAATCATATATTTCTCTAACCCAGGAAGCATTGTAAGAGAGTGTCCAGAAATAATTTTCATGACAACAGTAGATGGCAGCAACATCTTTGGCAAAGCAACCCGAGTCTCACTACAACCGATTATCAGGCTTTACCCTCACTGAGAATCACAATCTCTCTGTAGGCCGTGAGAAAGGAAGGATAATACCAGAATGTTAATTGAATTCAGAGTTCAAATGAAACAGAGCCATTCAACAGCTTTAGCTATCAGCACAGTAATGAATTAACTTTCACAGTTTGCAGATTTGTTTTGCTAGGCTTTGGTTGAGTTTTGTCACCTTTGTCCCACCAGAGCAGTATCATAATAAGCCTTTTATAACTAAAGGACTCTCCCATAGTTACCAACCACAGCAACCATAAACCTTCAAAACTAA